AAGGCCAGACAAGGAACAATGAATGGAAAATGAACAAGGAGAGATTCGATCTGGAAATAAGGAGGAATTTCCTGATAGTGAGAGCCATCTACCCATGGAACAGATGTTGCCTTCAGAAGTTGTGGGAGCTTCTTCCCTGGAGGCTTTCAAGAAGAGACTGGACTGCCATCTGTCAGAAATGGTGTAGGGTCTCCTACTTGGGCATGGGGTTGGACTAAATGACCTCCAAGGTCCCTTCCAACTCTGTTATTCTCTATTCAATAGAACAGAAGTTGCCTTCAGAAGTTGTGGGAGCTTCTTCCCTGCAGGCTTTCAAGAAGAGACTGTCAGAAATGGTGTAGGGTCTCCTACTTGGGCAGGGAGTTGGACTAGATGACCTACAAGTCCCCTTCCAACTCTGTTAATATATATCCGTATCATTGAACCCCAAATTTATGTTGCTGAGACATTGGTTAAGTGCGTTTTGACCCCCATTTTGTGATCTTTCTTGCCACCGTTGTTGAGTGAATCACCACAGTTGTTGAGTTAGTAGTAAATCTATTAAGTGAATCGGGCTTCCCCACTGCTTGTCAGAAGGTTGCAAAAGGGTGTCCTATGACCGCTGGACACGGCAAGCGACGTAAATATCAACCAATTGCCAAGTGTTCGAATTTTGATCATGGGACCATGGGGATGCTGCAATGGGCGTTAAGTGTGAAAAACGATCATCAGTCACATTTTTCAGTGTCGAGAACCGCATTCATTCCCTTTGTTTTTCACTCAAATCTCTACATGCATTTAGGACGGTTCTCCTTTTCTGAAGCCGTTTTGCAAAAATTTTATGCTTTCTAAGTGGTCAGCCGTTAACGGGATTCGGCTAACAAGTATGAAGATCTCACCCCAATGCATTTCACTGACCTGAAACCACAAACCACAGCCAAGGTAGTAAAAGTGAGGTGCACAGCCTGGGATCACCCAGTGCCCTTGGAAGATCGATGCCAGAGAAAATCTTGATGGCCCCCAATGGACCTACTGTATTTTTCGAAGTATAAGACGCATCTTTTTCCCCTGTAAAAGAGAGTGAAAATGTGGGTGCGTCTTATACACTGAATGTAGTTCCACCCACCCACCGGCCCCCACCTTTGGCCTTTGCCTCCCAGCAATTTACCTCCTTGCAGCAAACAGGGAAAATGGAGCTTGCGGAGACTGCAATAGGCTATGGCAATCCCTGCAGCCTGAAACAGCTGATGATTGGGAGGCCCATGCTGAAATTGAAAGTGAAACTTGCTGTTTGCTGCAGGAGGCAAATTGCTGAGAGGCAGATTTTTTTTCTCAGGCTCTTTGCTGTTTGCTGCAAGGAGGTAAGTCAATAACTATAAATGCCTATAGAATGTTCAAATTATTAGACTTATTTTTTTAAAGACAGCTTTATTATTGTTCTAGACAACTTAACAAAATGAAGAAGCTTCTTAAAATAAATGCTTGAACTGAAGAGGCCCAGTGCTATTGTATCTTCTTTTAAACAGCAGAGAATAACGTAGACTTTCAGACTTTCAGAAAGCACATCAATTTTAACAGCATCTGTACAAGCATAGTCTGAAATGTAACACCACAAACAGTGTATATCATCTGTACTGTTTGCTGTGAAGAGGAAAATTGCTGGGAGGCAGAGGCAGATTTCCCCCCCCCCTGTTTTCCTCCCCCAAAGCTAGGTGCATCTTATACTTCGGAGCGTCTTATACTCTGACAAATACGGTATATCAGTGTGATGACCCGGGGCAAGGCACAGAGGCAACACAGCTAGCTGACAGTTTAAACTCCCCTTTATTGCTCCAAGTTTCCCGCAAACGCTCCCACATTTATGGCAAGTTCCAGAACAAAGCCCTCACACATACACACAGAGACACAGCCTCTGGCTGTGAGTAGTCCAGCAAAAGGCTGCTAGCACAATGGCTTCATAGCGAGAAGTCCAGCGAGGCAACAGAACAAGACAATGAGTTCCACTCAAATGAAGGCAAAGAAGGTTGGCAAACTCCAGATGTCGGCCAGGGCACACAAAACTCCATGAACTCAGCACTTGTTCCCGACAAACACCCCTCCCCACAGGGTCTCCTTAAGTCTCAGTCCCCAGGTGTGCCTTGTGAAGAGGGGCGGATAGTCCTCCTGAATAGTCAAGGCAGCCTACTCTGTTCTCACCTCCTCTCCACTCTCGGTGCTCGGGGATCAGGAGGGGGTGGTCCTTGCTCATTGCCTGAACTCCGTTGCCCCTCATCTCCACTGCCTGCCCTCTCTTCCACTCTCTCGGTCGTCCTGCCCCTGTTCCTACCCAAGCCCAAAAGGCTCTGTCTCATCCTCCTCCGCAGACTCAGGCAATCAACCACATCAATCAGTTGGCTTATCAACCGATCCATAATCTCCACTGTGGATTAGGGCAACCTGAAGGGTCCTGACCCTCAACAGATCCAAAAACCTGCTGCTATTCCCTTCTCTGCATAACTTTGTCATCTCAGTTTCCTGCACTGGTAGCTTTCCATCAGCAGTGATGCCACAGCTCACAAAGCAACCTGCAGCCAAGGACCCAATGATCTGCTGGGCCCCGTTACTCAGACACAAACAGGGCGAGGACCGCAATATTCTCATCACTGCGTCAGATGGATGGCGGCCTCACCAATGACCACCCGGAATTCATTTACTGGCATTCATACAAAATCAGAAACTCTGTTCTGCAGTTCTATAATTTCTATTCTTCATAATAAGCTTCCTCTATTACCCCCTCCACCTACCTACGTTCACGCCTTTCTCCAAAAGAAGATACCACCATGACATGAGAAGGACTTTCACCAAGTTGTCAAAAGGTGTTGTGGCTCGCCAGCTTCTTCTAGCTAAATCAAGAGGCTGGTTTGTGCAGCTTTTCACATCCTAGCTGTTGTGATCTGCCGGTGGTCTGCGGAGCTGGCAGCAGATTCGGACAGTGAGGCGATTGGGAAGGAACATGGGCCAGTCCTGGAGTCTGGGGAAAGCTCGGATAAGGGCTCTGTGTCGGAGGCAGAGAGGGGGTCAGGGCCTTATGCCAGTTATCAGCTGCCTTCGGAGTCAGACATCATTGAGGCAGAAGAACAGCTGGAGCCTGTTCCCAGTGTGCGCATGCGCAGAGTTTCCAGACGAAGGGAACAGCTAAGGAACAGGGGTCGACTTGGGAGTAAGGCCACAGGTGGATGATGAATGGCCCCTGCCAGAGGGAATAAAAGAGGAGCGAAAGGGGAGTGGAGTTTGCAGGAGACAATTAGTTCATTCCTGCATTCTTGCCAAGTATTGCGATGTCTGAAAGATACCAGCCTGGCCACTCTCCAAGCCTGATAACGGTCGGTAATTGTGAACTCTCTTGAAAGACTCTGGGAGAATTCACTGTCAAATAAAAGGAGTTTATCGGGACTCGGCTTTGTGCTGCTGGGGAAGCCTAGGTCAGAACCTACCTTTCCCCTTGCAGGATTTCAATGCTAAATTTACTGCCAATCGCATTGGGGAGGGGGGTGCAGTTCCTGGCACTGATTGATGTTAGCCATGAAATGAATCCAGATCAAAGCTACAGAATTTATTATCAATCCATTCCTGGAGAAGACAACCGAATCTCCACTTTATACAAAATACAGAATAACCGAGTTGGAAGGGACCTCGGAGGTCATCTAGTCCAACCCCCCTGCTCGGGCAGAAAAGCCCTTTACCCATTTCAGACAAATGGTTAACCAACCTCTTCTTATAAACCTCCAGAGTTGGAGCATCCACAACTTCTGAAAGCAAGTTGTTCCACTGATTAATTGTTTTCACTGTCAGGAAACTTCTCCTTATTTCCAGGTTGCTTCTCTCTTATAACACATTTATTTATAACCTGGGAAATCAGAAATGTGGGAGTGGATAACAGGTGGCTGAAGTGACCCAAACTAATGGCCGTTATAAAATGGCATGTACGATTATCACCCCTTCAAGACAACGAAGGTCCTAGAAGCTAATGGACCACAGAAGCAGGAAGGTGCTTCCTATTTTAGGCTTCATGGATGTGTCAATGGAGATTATCTCCTGGGGGGGGGGTGAATTTCTAAGGACTACTGAAAACTGAAGACACCTCAAGATCTCCAGATTCAGATTAACAGAGTTGAAAGGGACCTTGTAGGTCTTCTAGTCCAACCCCCACCCACCCAAGCAGGAGACCCTACACCATTTCTGACTGATGGCAGTCCAGTCTCTTCTTGAAATCTTCCAGGGATGAAGCTCCACAACTTCCTAAGGCAACTTCTGTTCCATGGGTTGATTGTTCATAGTGGGGGGAGGAGTATCCAGTCCCTCCCTGACTATGTTTGTACGACTAAGTGTTATGTTCATTGTTTATGTTGTTATTTAAATATTGATGTTGAAGACAATAAAAGCAAAAAAGAAAAAAAACTGAATCAAGAGTCTGGAGTGAATGATGCAACGAGTCGGAGAGAGCTCTTCGTCANGGGGTAAAGCTATTTTCCAAAGCACCTGAAGGCCAGACGAGGAATAACGGATGGAAACTGAACAAGGAGAGATTCAACTTGGAAATAAGGAGACATTTCCTGACAGTGAGAACAATCAACCATGGAACAGAAGTTGCCTTCAGACGTTGTGGGAGCTTCATCCCTGGAGGCTTTCAGGAAGAGACTGGACTGCCATCTGGGAGGGGGGTTGGACTAGATGACTTACAAGGTCCCTCCCAACTCTGTTAATCTGTTAATGTCCGCACTGAGAAATTAATCACAGTTGATTGAGTCAACGTGTCCAATTTTCTGGATCTACAAGACACTCAGAGTTTGGCAGCCCAAACTAAGCTCAAGCTAGGCTAAAATCTAGATCATCTATGAGGTGCTTCCATGACATGTTCCAGAGTTGGCCTTCAAGCCAACGTTATCAGGGACTTTTAAGCTATTTTTTCAGGACGGCAAGGAATCCATTAATCTGTGGGATGACTTGCCTCTAGAAGTTGTGGGTGCTCCAACATTGGAGCTTTTTAAGACGGGACTGGACAACCCTCTGTCTGAAATGGAGTAGAGCTTGAGCAGGGGGCGGTGGGGTTGGACTAGAAGACTCCAAGGTCCCTTCCAACTCGGTTATTCTGTTCAACTGGGCTTCCCACAAGACAGGCTCAGGGAGAGAAGCGAGCGCAAACATTTCTCAAGAGTTATGACGCCTTCACATCCTTCCAAGGTTAACAGGCCCTCTGAACTATTTTCTTGTGAAGAAGAATAGCTGGAAGGCAAGCATTCCAGGAGATCAGAGGATGTTGTCCCTATGGAAGCACATTAAAAGTCACACCAGGAGGATCTGGCTTCCACTGAGGACCTGTCCATTGCACGAGTCAAAAAGAGGGCTGTGAAAATAGCTACAGACCCCTAGCATCCTGGACATAAATTGTTTCAACTCCTACCCTCAAAACGACACTATAGAGCATTGCATACCAGAACAACTAGACACAAGGACAGTTTTTTCCCCGAACGCCATCACTCTGCTAAACAACTAATTCCCACAACACTGTCAAATAATTTACCAAGAATGTATTACTATTCTTCTTCTCTTCCTTCCTAGAATCTATCTCTCCCCTCTTATGACTATAACCATGTTGCTTGCATCTTTCAATTTATATTGTTTTGGTTTGTTTCCTAATATGATTTGATAGCTTATTAATAACCTTGACTATCACTAAGTGTGGTATCTTATGATTCTTGATGAATGTATTTTATTCCTTATGTACATTGAGGGCATCTGCACCAAAGACAAATTCCTTGTGTGTCCAATTACAATTGGCCAATAAAGAATTCTATTCTTCTGAGATTCCAGAATCAAGAATGTATCTATTTCTTTTTCCCTAACAGAAAGGTATCCCAGGCTTTTTTTCTCTGCTCCTCTGCCTGACATGCCTTGTTGGTCACCGTCGATACCTAGAAACTAATTCACGTAGTCCTCAAGTTACAGCAGTTCATTTAGTGACCATTCAAAGTTACAAAGGC